CACCGGCGGGGCACCGGGACACGGGGGGTGTCAGTGGTGACCCCGGGGGGGCAATGGGGGGATATCGGGACTCTGGGGAGGGGGACATGGGGATGTGTGGGGGGACACTGGCGGGGGACACTGGGAAGGGGACACGGGGCCGGGGGGACACTGGAGGGAGAGGACACGGGCACGTAGGGGGGGCCCGTTCTGGGGGACAGGGGACACTGGCGGGGGGACGTGAAGAAATGAGAGGGATGCGGGGCACTGGGGGGGCACTGGGAGGGGGACACGGGGATGTGCGGGGAGCCCGTTCCGGGGGACACAGGACAGTGGGTGGGACATGGGGAGACGAGAGGGATGGGAGCACCGGGGGACCCTGTGGGTGACACGGGGGGGACACGGAACCCCGAACCTCCCCAAACCCCCCCGGCCCCTCACCATGGTCGCGGCCGCTCCGCTCCGCACGCGCCGGAGTCACCCCCCAGCACCGCCGCCGCCCATTGGCCGAGCGCCGGCGGGCCAATGGGAGCGCGCGGTGCTGCCACTGGGGCGGGTAACGCCCTTACCCAAGATGGCGCCTGGGGCGGTGTCACCCTCAGTCAGGCCCCGCGCGCGCGCTGATTGGCCAAAGCGGCCCCAGGGGCGGCTGCTATTGGAGGAGGCGGGGCCTGAGCTGAGGCCGCGGCGCGGGCGGCCATGGAGGGTGAGTGAGGGGGCCGGGGGGTTTGGGGGGTCCCCGGAGTCCTCCCGGTGTTGATGTGGGGTCCTGTGTCCCCCCCAGGGTCGCTGTCGCTGTCCCTGGACGCGGCGGCGCTGGAGCTGATGGAGGCGCTGGAGCTGCTGCAGGAGCGCCGGGAGCGGCTGGAGGAGCATCTGCGGCAGGTCAGGGGGAACGGGCGGACACAGCGGGGACAGGGGGTGTGGGGGGACATGAGGGGACACCACCCACCCTGGGGACACGTGTGGGGTCGTGCCACTCGGCACCAGGACACACCGCGGGGCCGGGCCGTCCGCTGTGGGGACAGACAGGGACACACCACTGGGATGTGCACTCCCGGGTCCCCTCTGTCCTGTGTCCCTCCTGTCCCCCCAGGGCTGGCTGTCCCTGTCCTGTGTCCCCACTGTCCCCCCTGTCCCCCCAGGGCTGGCTATCCCTGGCCCAGGCCCGGTACTCCCTGGGGTGTCACCGCGTCTCGTCCCTGCAATATGGGGCCACCATGGTGCCCCGAGTGCGTGTGAGCCACAGGTGGGGACACGGGGGCAGGGACATGGGGGGCACAGGGACATGGGGGGCACAGGGACGTGGGGGGCACAGGGACGTGGGGAGGACACAAGGACGTGGGAGGTACAGGGACGGGGGGGGGGACACTGGGACACGAGGGGGACCATGGCAGGGGGTGGCAGGGACATGGGGAGGACATGGGGATGTTGGGGACACTTGGCAGAGGGACACAGGGCTGGGGGGGACACCGGGGGACACACAAAGGGATGTCCTTGATTTGGGGAGGGGATATAGGGGTGACACTGATGTCCCCATGGGGGGTGCGGGGTGGGTGTTGGGGGCTGTTGGGGGCTGTCAGGGGGTGCTGGGGGGTCTCTGTGGTGGCAGAGGAACACGAGGGGTGGCAGTGACACCATGTCCCTGTGTCACCCCCAGGCAGGACCCAGGGGGACGCCCTCACTTTGAGGAGGTGCTCGGAACAGGGGGGGACCCCGAGGACCCCAACCCTCAGCAGGACGGGGGTGACGGTGAGGGGGGGAGAGGTGGTCCCTGGGGAGTTTGGGGGCGTTTAGGGTCCCTTTGAGGACCATGTGGGAACTGGGGGTGCCCAAGGGGGGTCCCCTGGGGGTGCTGGGGGGGAATTTGGGGTCCTCAGGACATCACCCATGGGTGCTGGGGGGGGATGCTGGGGGTGCAGGGGAGGAACTGGGGGTGCTGGGGGGTGTTCTCAGTTGTTTTCTGGGGTGTCACTGACCTTGTCCCTCCCCCAGGGCTGCGGCAGCGCCGGGGAGCCCCAGAGAAAGGGGGGGGCCCCACCCGGCCCCCCCCAGACCCCCTGGGCTGGTTCGGGGTGCTGGTGCCCCCCAGTCTGCGGCAGGCACAGGGCAGCTTCCAGGGGGGTGAGAGGGGGGGCGGGGGGGGGGGGGGGGCCGGGGGGGGGGCCTGAACTTGGGGGAACTGGGGGATCTGAACCAGAGGGGTCCCCCAAAGCAGGGCGAGGGTCCCCAAACCGTGGGGGTCCAAAATCTGGGGGGTCCCCAAAGAACAGGGGATCAACCAAAACTGGGAAGGGCCTGAAGGTCACGACCCCATGTGACCCCTCTGGCCCCCTGGCCCCAGGGGTGACACTGGCCGTGGAGGTGGCCGAGCTCCAGGGCACCGTGGATGCCATGGCCACGCGGTACCGGCACCTCCTGCGGCAGAAACGGCTCCTGGCCAGAGAGAGAGGGGACAGAGAGACCCCCGGGGACAGCAGCTCCTCAGGAACCCCGGCGGACACCGAGACCACGGGGATGCCGGGTGACATCAAGACCCGAGGGGACACTGAGGGTGGCACAGTGACCACGGGGGACACGGGGACTGCGTGACACGGACACTGAGAGCACCAGGGACGCTCTGCAGGTGACATGGGGGACACAGAGGAGCACAGGTGGCACCATGACCCACAGGGACACAGGTAACGTGCTGACCCTTCCCAGGTGACACGGAGCCTTCCCAGGTGACGCACCTGCCTGTGGGTGACACTGAGCCTCCCAAGGACCGTGCAGGTGACACTGAGACCCACTCGTGGGTGACACGGAGCCCCAGGGACCCTGTGGGTGACACTGAGCTCCAGCAGTGGGTGGCGGTGCTGTCACCACCCTCGTGACAGGACCACTCCAGGGCCCCTGTGTCTCCCCCAATAAAGCTGTTGTGGTGCCACCAGCGCTGTGTCCCCTCTGTCCCCAGTGTGCCACCATCTTTGTGCACCCGTGTCACCTGGCAGCCATGCTGGTCCCATGTGACCCCTCCCTGGCCCCGCCTCTGCCCCACCCAATCAGCGGCAGCCCCTTTGCCAACGTCTATGTTTATTGGGCGGGGCCCTCGCCCCGCCCCCAGGCCCCGCCCCCGGTGGGCGGGACCGACACAACAACGACTATGGGGAGGGGTGGGGTGCAGGGGTGTGGTCTGTGGGGGCGCGGCCGGGGCGTGGCGCCCCCTAGCGGATGGTGTAGCGCACGTAGGGCACCTCGATGTCGGCATCGGTGTTGTCGTTGCAGCAGAGCTCGAACACCAGCGCCTTGACGTGGCGGCCCAGCTTCTTCTTGGACACCCGGGTCACGATCTCCGTCATCCTGGGGGCAAAGCAGGGTCACAGGGGGGTCCCAGTCCTGGGAATCAGCACCCAGAGGGAATGCAGCCATGGCCTGTCCCCACCCCTGGGATCTGTCCTCCCCTTGGTACCCTGTCCCTCTCCCACAAGATACGTCCCTACCCCTGGGATGTCTCTGAAACCTCATGTCCTGATGTCCTGTCCCCTCCCCAGACCCTGTCCCCCTCCCCAGACCCTGTTCCCCTCCCCAGACCCTGTCCCCCTCCCCAGGACGTGGCCCCCTGGCCCTACGGTAGGTCCTGGCGCTCGCGGAGCTTCGCCGCCGACATGAAGAAGGAGTAGAGCATGGACACGCCCTGGGACAGCATCGTGATCTCCAGCTGGTGCTCCTTCTGGGGGGGACACGCAGGGGGCTCAGCATGGCACAGGCACCCACGACTGCCCTGCCCCCTGCCCAGTCCCCCCAGTCCCTCCCAGCACCTTGAAGTAGGCGAGGAACTGGCTCAGGGTCATCTCCCGCCCGTCGGACTGCAGCCCCTGCACCTCGAACCGGTCCCACAGCGTCCACTCCACGTCATAGTACTGTGGGGCACAGCAGGGGGGTCAGAGCCATGGGGGGGGGGGAGAAAACCCCCCAATTGGGGGGGGGGGGGCGGGGGGTTCCCCCCCGGGGCCCCGGGGGGGCACAAACCCCCACGGGGCAATGGGGGGTCTTGGGGAGTCACTAAGACCACGGGGTGAGTCGGGGCCACTGTAGGTTCCCCCCCACCCCCTGGGGTCAGGGAGCTGTGGGGCAGCAGCTCAGCCCAACCGAGACCTCAAATCCCCTCGAGAAGTGACCCCCCACCCCCCCCACCCCCTCTCCCCACCTTGTTGCGGGGGCAGGCGAGGGGCTCGGAGAAGGTGACGAAGGGCAGTGCCAGGTTGAGGAAGGCGTTTTTGTAGGAGCTGAGCCGGCGGTGCCCCTGCACCAGCTTGTAGAGCTCCAGGCAGACCAGGCCCACCACGGCCGCCGTCGTCGTGGCGATGGCCGGGATGATCTTCCCCGCGATCAGTTTGCTCTGGGGGCAGGAGGGGCCTGTAGGGCCGGGGGGGCAACGGCCCCACTGATCCCCCCCCCAGGGGTCTGCAGCCCCTCAGGGCTCCACAGTCCCAAGAGGCCTCGTGTGAGCCCTTGACTCACCCATGTGTGACCCACACCCAGTAACAGCCCCGGTAACACCCCACAGAAACCCCCCAGCACCCACAGGGCCCTCCCCAGCACTCACAACCCCCATAACAACCCCAGGCACCCGCCAATAGCACCCCTGTGATCCCCCAGCACCTACAGGACCTCCTGCAGCACCAACAGGTCCCCCACAGCATCCACAGGACCCCAAATGGCACCCATTAGGATCCGCCCAACACCCACAGGATCCCCATTAACACCCTGGGACCCCTCCCCAGCCCCCACCTTGTGGCGGTCGGCCGGGGGGATGTCGTAGTTCTCTGCACGCAGATTGGAGGCAGCGACAATGAAATCCATGTGGAAGTTGGTGTCGTCATCCTGGAGGAACCCAGGGGGGCAAGGGGTGAGCACCCGGGGCTGGGGGGCACCCAGGGGTGGGGGTGAACCCTCTCTGGGGTGGGGGGGCAGCACCCACCTTCTCAAAGTCGATGGGGAACATGCGGAACCCGGGCAGCTCCTCCGGGCTGGGCAGCGACGCCCTCAGCTCCTCCAGGCGCCCGTCGTCTGGGGGGGACACACGAGTGGGACCCTGGCACCCCCAGGACCCCAGTGGGACCCCACTACATGCGTAGGACCCTCCCAGCCCTCCAAGTGCCTCTCAACCCCAGCAGTTACCCCAACGCCCTGATCCAACCACCAGCCCCTCTCCCCAGCCCCCCTGAGCCTCCCCAGCCCCTCACCCAGGGCTGCATTGGCAGCCCCCCATGTCCCCCCTCACCCAGGGCAGTGCTGGCAGCCCCCCTGAGCCCCTCCATGCCCCCCAGCCCCTCACCCAGGGCGGCGTTGGCGCTCTGCAGCTCCTGGTCAGACACGTGGATGCGGACGCCGGCCTTGGGCGTGAAGGGGGGGGATGTACACGTGGCGCAGCAGCTCGGCCACGGCCGCCCGGTCCCGCGAGCCCGCGATGCCGTAGCTCTGCGCAAACAGGTTCGCCGCCGCCATCACGTAGTCCAGGTGCAGGGGCTGGAGGGGCACCAGGGTCAGGGGGCACCCACAGGGCGTGGGCGGCACCCACGGCTGACGGGTGACACCCAAAGGTGACGCGGGGACACCCAAGAGGGATGGGATGACACTAAAGGGGGACAGGTGACACCCAAAGGTGGCACGTTCACGAGTGAGAGGCATTAGCTGAGTGCCATGGGGCAGCACCCAAAGGGGAGCAACAGCCTCCAGGAGTGACATCCATCACCCAAAGGTGACATCCTCCACCCGAGAGTGACTGAGACCTCCCAACAGCAATGGCCACCCCCAAGGGATGGGGGGTGACGTTGGAAATGGACAGAGAGCACTCAAAGACAATGGAACCCAAAGATGGCCAAAGATACCCAGGGGTGATCGATGGCCCCTGATGGGGACTGATGGCACCTGAAGGATATGCCCCCCCCCACCAGGTGACAGGCCCCCCCTCCCCACACAGGGCCCAACTCACGTTGTCGGGGTCAAAGACAAGGGGGTGGGGGCAGCGCTTGGGCCCCGACCAGAACAGGGTCCCCGAGTTCGTTGTCTGCAGGAGAGGAGGTGAACGAGGCAATTAGGGGTTAGCAAACCAACTGACCTTAACGATGCTCCTCCTCCCCTCTCCCAGGGCCCCTCCCTGTGCCCAAGCCCCCCACCTGTTTTGGGGGGAAGTTGTGCAGCAGCTGGAGGATGTTGTTGCTGTACTGGCGGTGCCAGTGCCGACAGGCCCAGGCCACGCAGTCGGGCCAGGCCCGGGGCCGGTCGCTCACGAGGCTGCGCTGGACGGCCTCGAGCACCTCCAGCGGCTGCGTCCCCGCCAAGCGCAGCGTCCGCTCCAGGAACTTGGGGTCCCTGGGAAAAGGAAGGACAAGGGGGTTACAGGGGGCTATGGGGGGTTCAGGGGTCCCAGCCAAGTGCACCGTCTGCTGCAGGACCTTGGGGTCCCTGGGGAAACGGGGATCGTGTGGGGTACAAGGGGGTTACAGGGGTCCCGCCCGGGTGCAGTGTCTGCTCTGGGAACTTGGGGTCCCCAGGGGAATTGGGGTACAGGAGGGTTATGGGAGGTACAGGGGGTTACAGGGGTGCCACCAAAGTACAGTGTCCGCTCCAGGAACTTGGAGTCCCTGGGGGAAAAGGGGGTACAGGGGGGTTACAGGAGTTTATGGTGGGTACAGGGAATCACAGGCGAGTTATGGGGGGGTTATGGGGGGTACAGGGGTCCTGCCCAGGTGTAGTGTCCACTCCCCAGAAGAAATGGGGGTAATGGGGGGCCATGGGGTGTGGGGGATGGGCATGGGGCTATATGGGTGCTGCATGCGAGAGATGTAGGACGTATGGAGGGGATTCATGGGGGCTTTGGGAGTGCCCCCTCTCCCCCACACTCACATCAGGTACTGGTTGACGTTCTCAGCTGGTTGCTTGAAGAGCCCCTCGAACTCATCACGTGCCCACTGCAGGGGAGGGGCTGTCACTGGGGGGACCCTGGTGCCTGGGACCCCCCAAAACAGGGACCCTGGCACTCCCCAAAATAGGACCCCAGTACCTGGGACCCCTCAAACAAGATCCAGGTATCTGGGAATCCCCCACGGGGGATGCAGACACCTGAGGCCCCCCTAAAACAGGACCCTGGCACCTGTGGACCCTTCATGGGGCACCAGGTATCCGGCACACCTGGACACCCCTGGCAGGTGCTTGGCACACCTGGACACACCTGGAGTGTGTGCTCGATGGCGTTGGGGAAGTTCTTGAGGGTGCAGATGGGAATGGCCTTCTCGGGGGGGTCCTGGCTGGAGCTGTACGACTCACTCAGGAACGGGATCACCACCTGCACGTTGCCCTTCGTGCCCAACGTGCCCGACTCCAGCAGCGGCTTCCGGTAGTACACACAGCGCCGGTCCATGTACAGCCCTGCCGGGACCTGGGGTCAGCTGGAGACACATCTGGGGGCTATGGGGCACCCCACAGCCACGGGGCATCCCTTGGATATAGGACATCCCAAGTGGTGCCAGGCCCCAGGCATAGCCCCAGAAAAGGCTGTTCCTTATACACCTGCAAGGGTCTCTCCAGACCCCCGAGGACCCCCAGAGCCCCCAAAGGATGTTCCCCGAGCCCCCCAGGCCCCGCTCACGGGCGTCCACGTTGTCCAGGGCGTTGGCGACGCCGTCCAGCCCCTCGAAGAAGTCGTCGTCGTAGACGCGCTCGGTGTCGGGCCCCACGCGGTCGGTGCGGCTGCTCACGCGCAGCGCCGGGTTCATCTCCCGCGCCGCCGCCGCCGCCCGCTCCGACTTCAGCTTCTGTGGGGGGGACACAGAGACGGTGAGGGCACCCTCCTCCAGGACACACCCTCCCGAGCCACACCTCCCTGTGCCTCTGCCAGTGCCATGACACATCCAGGAAACTCCACCCAACCACTGACTAACACTGAGC